CACAGATCGAGCAACTTCAATATGGGGTCGGCCTATAGCGCGCCGGCTGTAATGACGATGCATGCCTATCTGCCCCTCCTCTCCGCCATCGGATGGGTCCGTCGCTTCGGCCTCCAAGCCACAACTAATACACTGCACTAAGATCTGCCTCGAAACGTAACAGAAACCCACCATGAGTGAGGCTGGACTTGAGGCATCGTCGTGTGTCGGGCTTCTGTAACCTGCATATCGATAAGAGCGAACCAGATTGGAGTGTTACCGAGACCACAAGTGATACGAAGTTTAATTATCATTATAGGAAGTAATCAACGTGCACATCACTGAGATGTCCGCATCAAGGTAAGTATCGCGACCTGCAACCCCCAATATCTAAACCACGTCACCGCCATTCTCGACCCTGGCGTACCTTCCCTCCTTCTGCGCCTTCCACCTTGGACTGCGATCCGTCAGCACGACTCAGCATGCGACGGCCGAGTGAACCTACTAGAAGAAGTTCCTAAAGGCCACAATACCCGCTGTCATAGCCGCGTATCCGCCTAGCAGCCTCGACCAATTGCCCTCCTGTCCAACAGTCAACGCAACGAGGTCGTATACCAAGCAGCCGCCGAAGATCCAGTCGCTCATGCTTGCCGCCGCGGCGAAACCAACACCGGTAGCCACCTGCACCAGCGAACTGGGCTCTACACCTACAAAGTAGGCTGCAGATGTGTTGTGAAGGAGGTCGAGCACACCGATACCCGCGAATGTCTTCGAGACAATGTGGGTGAGGAGGTTGGGTGTCGAGCGTGTGTCGAGCGGCTCAAGCGCCGTAGCGATGTAACCGACTTGTGCCAGTGTATTGATGATGACGAAGATGTTCGATGTCTCCAGGTTGTTCGAGTTCCAGAAGAACATCCAAGCTGTCGCATACGTTAGTCTTCATTCTGTGGTATCATATGGTGCTTCATTGACAAGACTTACTTCCAATGCAAAAGTTGCCCAGACTGTAAACCCAAGCAAACTTGTTCATCATCGCACACTCTTGCGCATTACCATCTTGCTTCCATAGCTTCCACAACCAGACCAGCTGGAAGATTTGCTGTGGGAAGAAGAATGCGCCGATGAAGTATGGGTACGGGCTGAAAGCGGCAAGATTCCGGTTATGGATATCCATCATGTTGGGCGACGAGAAGATGCCATATTGTTGCAGAGCAAAGTCGTAGATGAAGGATGCCGGCGCAAGGTAGCGCACCGTAGATTGCGTGTTGCCCATACTAGAGGCTGTGGTGGTGTTCGAGGTTGTATTCGGAATGCACGTAGGGTCACGTTTACGAATGCGATGCAGCGAGATGGGATTGTAGATGTGGAATGAGATTCAGCAAGAAATCGTGGTATGCCATTGTCTTTGTACGGTCTCGCGTCGCGTCTGTGGTCAATCGAAGACGTCATCCCATAATACGCGATCTCAGGGTCCAGCTCCCGATGCAGCACGAACATCATCGCCATCATCGTGATGTCGGTACACGCCGGAACGTTTCGCACCGACTGCAGCCGCTTGGACATTTCGTATTGTCTCGGCTTCGGAGTTCCTCTGTCAGAATCTCCGACAATCCTTGTGTTGTAAACACAAAATCTTCATTCTCTTGCTCAGCTAGTGTTTACCCATTCTAATCCATTTCGTTCGCTCAAAAGCCGCAGATAGTTTCCCCTACACGCCTTTTTCCACGGCTTGTTGTGCGTCGCGTACACGCGTTGCAGCTTTGGTGTTTTAACTCTCCAACCACCCTGGAAAAAGTCGTCTAGCAACGGTATCAATTCCTTCGGGCTCCAGAACTTGAGAAGACCATCATGGACAAAGCACAGCTCCTCCAGGCTCGATGGTATGACTTCCTCGATTCGGGGCCAAAGGGAAGCCTCACCGCCTAGTATTACGGCAGGCGGGACGTGAAGGGAGGAGAGAACGGGATATTCCCGAAAATCGCAGTTTCCGTAAACGTCAACGGACCCCGGCAAATGCAGTTGACAAAAGAATCTCAAATGTTCCAAGGTGCTCTTGACACTGTTGAGGGCGGCGCTGAGCGATGCGCAATCCACGGTGAAGAACGCCTGATCGCGAACCCAGTATTCGTAGTCCAATTTCCTCAGAGCTGGTGTGCAAGACAGCAGTTTCGCGAGTGTGTCTGGTTCCACTGAAGACTCGCTGAGTCTCAATGTCGTCAACGTTGAGCAGACAGGTAGAGGTGTTGCTTTCTGGAAACCTGCCTGGGCAATCTCATCCATCAAGCTCATTTCAATCTTCTGGATGTTTGGACACCAAAAGAAAGCCCAATATCCCCTCCAATCCAAATGTTGGTGTAGATACTTGATCCGACTCCAACTATACCACCGATGATCCTCCTTAACATAACCGCTATACCCACGGCCGAGATGAATGTTTCGAAGCTTGCGACAACCGAGAGCTTGTGACTCCGCACCACAAGAGCGCAGCTTCCACAAGATTTCAGGGATGTACACTACGTCGCTGCCGATGTGAAACCCCAGATCGAGTGAGACAAGATTGGGACACATCCACACGAGCAGCGCTATGGTAGCATCCAAATCGTACTTCAGGATAGCTTCATACCAAGAACGACCGCTGACTGCAAAAGCATCTCCGCGTCCTTTATGGTGCCACTCCAGCCCTGCATTTCGTACGGCGTCCAGGGCCAGTCGCTCGTTCGCGTTTGTCCAAATCGGGGCAGCTTTCGGTTTCCGCTTCTCCAAAGGCTCCCGTCTGCGTGGATCACGAAACCAGTCGTCCCAACAACCCCCAAGCCCGGTAGTCTGCAGTCTGAGACTAGTGATCGATTGCGCGTAGGCGGGCTTCGCCAGGATTGTTTGCAGGAGTAAGTTGGGCCGGAAAGCTCGGCGTTGCCACGGACGGTAATCATGAATACTCAGCGGGCGAGTTGCATGACCGGCTTGCCATTGCATGCTGATGTTGCTGTATAGATGCGCTATGGTCTTTGCGTGCATGGCTTTGCAGGTACGAGACAGGTTCAACACGTCTTGGGACGGAGGAAGATAGCTGAGTACGATTTCGAGAAGCTCCTGTGGAAGCTCGAACAGCGGAGATGCGCAATGCGGGAACGACATGTTGAGTTGTTGGTAGTGCTGGATAGGTCTGAACCAGGACCAGGCCGCAGTCTGAGTCAAAGGTGCACTCTGTTGTTTCTGAGACGAGATGGCGGTATGAGGAAGCTGCGCCCCACAGGCTCGGAGTTAAGCATCGAGGTATCCACTTTAACGCCGAGGTACGCGCCTTCCAACCTCGCAAGTCTCAGATTCCCATGTCTCTTTCACGACAACATCGCATCAACAGCGGATGCACATACAACTCATACATCACCAGGGAGGCTGTTAAATCACAATCACGCTGTCAATCTCAATTGTAAAGTGCTTCGAATCCCTCACTATATGCCCAGCGATCCAATTCGACCTTGCAATCCGACCCAGTATGCTGTAACCCATCACCGACGCTATCACATACATCAGAACCAACGATGAGGCCTGGCAAGCTTCAACGAGCTTCCTAGCGACAGCGAACGTCAACGTGACAGTATGTAGCTGCTAAACAGCAAGTTGACAATTTGTAAAACCTATGTCTAGAGGTATGTCTACCTCAACCCTACTTCTGCTCTCCACCTTCCTCCGGTACGGCGTTCTTGTCTTCTTTAGGTCGAATCGCCATAACACGCGAAAATGCAGGCCGGGCCGTCTCATCAGAGGATGGGACGACAATGCAGTAAGGAGAGATCAATGAAACGCCTTGCTACACCGACTCTTGATCGTCTGCTTCATTACCTACACTTCTGTTGACTCTTTCGGCAGCGATGATGTTCTCATCTCACGCTGCTCAAGCTGTGGTTAATCTCTATTCGTCCAGCAACAATAATCTCGATTGCGACTTGACTAAGTCGTCATCTTTTCAATGTCTTTGATACCGTTGACAGTCGGCTGACAGCTTGCTAGCAGATGGCTACACATACACGAAGATACCTGGTCAGATGTTCACACGGAGTATCAACAATGACAATACCAAACATTACATTTCTCCGTCAGTGGTGTCTTCAGCATTCACATTGTTGGACTCTTCCTCAACTCCACGCGTAAAGCGCGGATATCAATGAAAAGTTGGGCCGTGAGTGAACCCGTTATTGCCAGTCCCATACGTGTCTTGATTCCATCCAGGGTCTTGTCTCATTGGTAAGAGGGTGACCAAGAATGGTAAGCAAGCCGCCATGGTCTGAACGCTCACGTCATCTAGAGTGAGGTTATCACTGCGAAAGATGCCACCCGAACATCCAGCAAGCTGAATGTTTGGTAAGTATTTCGTCCAGGTTCGAGCATGTCACAAAAGTGACATACTCTAAGCAACGAGAGGAGCTGACTACAGCGCCGGACGGTCGCAATCATCATCAGCTCTTCGTTCTCATACCGTACGCAACTCCATACAAGTAGCGATGAGGCGCACCAGGTGTTCTGGCAGTGCTCGGTGATGCGCTTGTATTGGTCAGTGTACTGGGCGAGTGGTGTCGTGTCGAAATCCGTAATCTCCAGCCGTAGCGAGCTATCCCAGAGACTGTCTCTCTGAACCCATCCCAGAAGCTGGGGGAAGGCTTGAAGAAAAGAAGAGAGAGAGGGGGCGGGGCGAGATTATATGTGCGTAGCGACACGCGCTAGCGATAGCTCACGTGACATTAATCGTACGTGCGTTGGAGCCTGGGAAGTCAGAAAAGTTGTACAGTAGTGGGTGAAGGAGGAAAATTTCCTAAACGGGCTAGTTTGCGTTTCAGGTACTGCGACGCCCAAGGCCTGGAGCCCACCAAGGGACGTCTCCACTCTCATTGGTGTGCTGCGTACGAGCAAACGTTGGCGACACCGATTGATCGCCTTGCATCAAAACATACGAAACTATTTTCAAAGCGCCGGTCCCAAGATACCCACGATTATCGCTCATTACCCTCCATTCGCACACTACCATGGTCGCAAACCGAGCTGAAGCCCTCGCGGAGGAGCTGCACGAAAGCAAACAGGCGCATAACAAGGACAAGGGAGCACTCACTGCTTCCAAACTAGAAGTTATCAATCTCCGGAAGCAGCTGCGGATGTCGGAGCACAGACAGAAGGTCGCCGAAGGTGATCTACAGCTCTTGGTCCTAAAGTGCAAATTCCGGGAAGGAGATGGTGAATGCTTCGAGGGAGTGGAAGCAGTTCATACCGACGACAAGGCGCTCAAAGCTATTCTACCCGACGCGCCAGTCCACCCTCCAGAGATGTACAAAGCGCGTTCGGATCGGAATTCGAAGGTTCAGAACAGCGCGCCTTCGGTAAACCCAGAACCAGGTCGCCACTTGGACCATCTCGTCCTTGATCTAGAGGACGAAGACACTGCCGACTCTAGCCATGGTACTAAGCGGAAATTTGATGAAGCAAAGTAGGTATTCGCCGCAATAACACGACGATCCCCGCTAACCACTTCACAGCTCAGAAGAGTCCAACGATAACCCGGCAATGTCGAATCCTTCCCCAAGCCGGCGCCTGATCGTGTGCATCAGGTGCTATCAGCTGAAGCTTCGCTGCGACACCGGAGAACCCTGCAACAACTGCGTCTCATTCAACCACATCTGCAAAAGGGCCAAGTGTAACGACTACGAGGTTGGGGCGTGTAGGCGATCCGGCTGCCTAAGAGCACACCGCGCGGATGAGAAGGCATACAAGAACATCGTTCGCGCAGGACATATTCCAAGGACCGACCCTTCCAGGCCGATAATCCCCAGGTCAAAGAAGCAGCGCAAGGACGACGATGACGGAGAGGGGGGTTCGGGAAACTCTGGGGGCGGTGGCACACGTACTGGCATTGCTCTTCCTTACTAATCCTCCCGCGAGCACTACGAGAAGGACAAGGAAAAGTGTTGGAAGCTACTTGGGTATCATCCAGGGTCTTACACCACTTCACCAGGTCACTGAACGTGAATACAACTGACCCCACCGACCAAGCACTTGCAAATGATAGTCTTGCAAGCTGGTAATAATACATCTCATTCCAATGTGTTCTCCTCATTGATAGGGTTGAACGACGACATAGGAGAACGTACTGATAAGAGGCAATGTAGAGGTCATCCGCCACGATAACGATCGTGAAGGTGACGATCTTTCAGACAATACCCATGCGCTCTAGTTCAACGACCCTTTCTTTGTCAATCGTGTCTTTACGTATGTTAGGAGCAATTTGTGAAGAGATGTTTATCACTTGATCGCCTCCTACTAAGCAACGTTCAGGAAGGCGAGTCGACAGTGAAGGCTTTCAATCCGTCTACGCAAGTAGAGTTGCAATAGCTCATTCTTGTCAGTCCTAATTTCCACCTTGTTCCTACCGATTCTGACGATCTTAACCTCGAGCCTGATCTCCTGTTTCTTATCGCTGTCTCATTCGCTGATAAGACCGTTTGGTTTACCTGAGTGACGTCGTGGGTCATTGAGCAAATACGCACTGACCAAAATAACGCACTCTCACTTTCTTAAAGTCGCATTTGTTTGACCAAATCTACTTCCTTCCTACTATCCTCATCTGCAAAGCCTACGTATCCCACCCAACGCACATCAGCAACGTTCCTGCAACCAACCTCCCGCCCGCAACGAGCCCATATCAAGATGTCTTCCATGGCAGACCTCGCCCGGCAGCTCGCCGAAACCAAACTGGAGCTCGCCGACACCAAATCGGAGCTCGCTGATGTCAAACTGGAGCGTACTCATTACAAGAACAAGTCCAAGTCCCGCAAGCTCATTATCCGGGACTTGAAGGTCGACGCGGAGGATGCGAAAGAGTTACGCGGGGTGATCGACCACGATGACTCTGATGCAACACACGTCCCGGACTACAACGACGATGACACATACGATGCTCGTGAAGAAGAAGAACAAGAAGAACATGAAGACGTCGCCATGAACAACGAACCCTACGATGTCACCAAAGACAAGTACTACGATGTCGACAACGACGAATATCACCCTCTATGGATCAAGAGCGAAGCTAAGCATGTGGTCAAGGACGCAGAGCTCTCCAGGGCCAAGCACGAGTTCTTCGAACTTGACAGCAAGTGCTTCGGACTTGAGCGCGCGCTCACCGCAGCAGAACAGACCATCAAGTCGCGGGATGAGTCGCTCAAGTCGCGCGATGAAACTATCAAGTCGCTGGAAGATACCGTCAGGTCGCAGGACGATAGCATCAAGTCGCTGGGTGATGCCGTCAAGTCACGCGATGAGACCATCAAGGAGCGTGATGAGACCATTGCGAAGCTCGCGGCCGACTCCCTTCGCTCCAAGGCCCAGCCGAACGGACACAAGCGCACCCTTGCGGAGTCTAGCATTGAACCGCGCGAGGTGTTGGAGAAGAAGAAGAAACCCCGCCATGGATACCGGCAAACTCTGGAGATACGTCCCAAGGAGATCAAGGAGACCAAGGAGACCGAGGGTGGTGTGAGCGAGAAGCGCGGAGAGGATGATCAGGCCTGAGGTACATCTGCAGGGACGAGCTGTTGCTGGTTCTTTTTCTTTTGTGTATCGTTCAGATCACTACCGTTGTAATGCTTGATGTGCAAGCTATCTAAGCTCGTAACATCACTGGACATGACTCTTTGCGAGTACAAGATGCGCAATGCACTCTGTCCAACTTGGAATCTAAAATTTCGTTTTCAAATGAGCTACTGTGGACGTGAATTTGTTCTGATATCAGACAATGTAGACGACAGCTAGGCCGGTGAAGATGACGAAGAAGACACGCTTTCGGACACCTTTTGTACATTTGATACGAAGTGAACATCTACTTTCTTCTAAGACCTATCCTCCCGCAGTATAGTACACCCATCTTAATTTGTATCAGACGCGCATCGTTCGAGCCTCCTCTATCTACGTAGCGCTCAGAAGAGCAAGTTATTCAGCAGTAACGCATCCCAAGGTCCTCAAGCATCTTGTAAACTCGATGCCTCAAGAGAGCCTCACTGTACCACTCAAATATCCCGTCCCACCGATCCATATGAGCATACCTAGCCTTCCTTCTGGCTCGTAGAGCCTCGGCTTCGATCTCCAGAGCTTCTTTCGCAACGATAAAAGCGGCATATTTCCTCCTCAGCACGCTGATTTCCCTCTGCTGCTCTCGACGTATCCTCTTCCTCTCCTCAACTGGCAAACTCCGCCACCGCTTCTTGTCCTCCCTGACTCTCGCTGCTTCCTCGCGTTTTGCCTTCCGTTCCTTTGCTTCATCCTTCATCCTTTGGACTTCTGCATTGTATCTTTGAATTTTCTTCTCGAGATAAGCGTTCGCTCCTCGGCGCGCGCAGAGGCATTGTCGCATAAGCTCGTTGAACTCTCTGAGACATCGCTCTACAAGTGCAGTATGCGCTTGCTTGAGTTCCTCATAGTGACGGACAGTGGAGGGATCGGCGTTGTTCGCGAGCGCAGTTTGGTAGTCTTGTTCGATTTTTGCGAGCTCGGCAGCGATGACGATGAGTTGCTCGTCCTTCTCTGAAACTTGTGCATTGAGCTGATCGCGAAGCTCCTCCGCTGTGGGTGGACCGAAGATCGAGAGGTTTGTGGTATCTGCGTCTTGTTCGCCGTCGGTGTTGGTGTTGTCAGGCTCGGTAGAAGACATCGTGGACTGCGGACAGTAGCGTGTAGGCTTCGGCGAAAAGATAGATGGCGATGGCTGTAGTAGCGTTGGTATGGGGTAATGCAAAAGCGCAAAGCCCGAAAATATTGATTCGGTGCGCTGCTTGGCAGATCTAGCCCGTTATAGACATTCCAGTGAAAGAGATGGGCGGGCAACACTGGATGTAGGCGTAGATTCCCTCCTAGAACAACACCTCAACAATCGCTGAAAAGGAGGACTGAGCGCAGCCTTCGTTACAAGCTGTTGACAATATACATTGGCTGCAGAAGACGAGAAAGTAGATATAGGAAAGACATATACTATGGCAAGACGTTGATGAACTCACGAACTTTTCACTGAGCGAATGGAAACCGTATCCTGCCGTGTAATCATTATTAAGCTTTTGGATGTGTTCGTGTGTCCGTCACGATTATTTTACAGGCCTCAAGCTGAGCTGTTCAGCTCGCTCCGTAACCTAAAACATGCCTGTAGTGGTTTGGATATCTGGCTCTGAAGTACGCAAGCGAGGATCGCTTCCGTCACCTTGACGATATTGTGATGAGAGTCATGTTTCAAGTGTTCTCCTCCGATCAAGTAACCAAGATTCCCTGATATGGTAGTCAACCGATGTCAGAATTGATGATGACGGGTCCAAAGTGACGGTGCGACCAGCGACAAGGCGATTATCTTAGGTCCACCAGCTAGGCAGAGAACAGTACAGTTTAAGCACAGATGAGACATGTTGAGAGGTGTTGGGCTCGAAATCATGAAGACGGCTGTATGATAGGCGAAGATGGACGTCACGATGTAGGCGTGGTGTTGAGGTTCCAGCCAAGCGACCCCACCATTAGCCTTATCGCGCTCGTGTACACCTTCTGTGTTCGGCAACAGCCCCGCCTACACCGAGCTGTCCCATCATGGCTGAACTACGGCGGAGATGGCCGCTGACGCGCAAATCGGCTGATATCCAAGTCTCTATTTTCATCGCGCAAGTGTCTCTTTATAGCAGCTGTTCTTCTGCACCCCCTTCCAAGCTCGGACCGAAATCACGCGACAAGGAGTGACGACATGGCGAACATCACATCAGCCGTCTCGCAGGATGATCTGGAGATTCCGGTACTTCATCTTCACTCAGGCATTCCGATCAGCGCCTAACAATGCTTAGCTCATCGACTTCTCCGTGTTCCTCTCAGGCGACGCCGACGCGAAGAAGCAAACCGCCGACGCCGTCCTCAAAGGATTCCAAAACGCCGGCTTCATCTACCTAAAGAACCACGGCATATCCCCCTCGACCGTATCCACCGTATTCTCGCACTCCGCCAAGTTCTTCGCGCGACCAAAAGAGCAAAAAGACAAGTTAGCATGGTACTCGGCTGCCGCCAACCGCGGCTATGTCACACAAGGGCGGGAGAAGCTGGTAGTACTGGAAGAGACAGGCACAGAAGCGGAGATGCGCGCCTTGGTGCCAGATCTGAAGGAGAGCATGGAGATCGGACGCGACGACCAGCCTGAGATGCCGAACATGTGGCCGAGTGGGGATGACGAGGCGAAGCAGTTCAAGGAGCAGATGATGGGCTTCTTCGAGACATGCAAGGACCTGCACATGCAGGTTATGCGCGCTATTGCGCTGGGCATGGGCATCGATGAGAAGTGGTTCGATGGCTTCACGGACGCGGGCGACAACACGCTGAGGCTGCTGCACTACCCGGGTGTGTCGAAGAGCATCTTCAAGAGGAACGATGGGCAGGAGCAGGTGCGCGCAGGAGAGCACAGCGACTACGGTATGGTGGTCTTCACAACTTGCCGCTAGGATTGACTGACACGACGACAGGCTCTATAACCCTCCTCTTCCAAGACGCCCGCGGCGGTCTTCAGGTCCGCTCCCCCAAGGGCACTTTCGTCAACGCTACCCCCATCGCAGACACCATTGTCGTCAATGCGGGTGATCTGTTAGCACGCTGGTCGAACGATACCATCAAGTCAACAAAGCACCGCGTCATGGAGCCACCACCAAAGCCGGAGGACGCCGACAAGGACGAATACCCGCCACGATACTCGATAGCCTACTTCTGCAACCCGAACTACGACCGCAAGATCGAGGCTATACCCGGCACATACGAGAAGGGCAGGAATTACGAGGATGTTATGAGTGGGGATTATATAATTGGGCGGTTAACAGCGACGTATTGAGGGACGAAAACAAGTTGATGGACCTGGTATGACTGTTTGGTTTCAGAAACTATGCTCGGGCTACCGTTGGTGAATTGTGTTGATTTAAGTATTCAAAGCTCATCAAGCCTATCTATTCAAGTCCCATTACATCGTATATAGTGTCCGCACTTTCTATATCGCACCAGGCACATACATGCTCCTATGACGCTCCCAGCGCAACACCAGTCTGAAGCATCAAACTATCAACACCACCCTCTGCCAAGTCTAGCGGCGCAACAAGCGCCATCTGACTCCAGCTAAAAAGTGTATTGCGACCCCCAAACACGAACACCTCGAACCGACCCGCGAATGTATCATTAACCCACACCCGACTACCGCTGATAACATCCGTCTCAATGCGCAGATTCGCTGGGAGTTCAATCGGCACAGGTTCATGGGAGGATGTCGTCTCGTTGGTCCAGATACGACCCGGATGTCCAGTATCGTGGCCATCAAGCGGAGAAACAGAACGTAGAGGATACTCGAAGCCATCGGATGTGGTGAACATGAGTGTTGTGATGCTATCACTGGAGTTGTTTGGAAGAGTAGCGATAGAGAGCGAGGTATCAGGGCCGGTCAAGGTGAAGGATGAGGATACCTTTAGGGTCAGGGTGTAAGGTGGTCCATACGATCCCATTCCCAAAGTTGCGTTACCGTTACTGGATGAGTTTCGTATCCATGATACCAGCGCTGAGCTTGGCGAAGCTACGTTCGTGCTTGTGAAACGGCGATCTAGGTTTTGTCCAGGAGCCTTAGTTGCCTAGAAAGACCTCTTGTTAGCCAACGCGTCGAAATGCATGAACTACTTGCTTCGCTTGAACATACCAAAAGTGCAATGCTATCCGCCAACTCATTCGGGTCGATCTTCGCACCTCGTGCACCCGCCCACGCACGCGCCGCCATAACTGGTATACCCTCTCGCATCGCATAGTAGGCTTCCAGTTGGGTAGTCGCACCCGGGCCATTATCATTCCAAGCTGCAAGAATAGCGCCTTTATTGCCACTAGCACTAGGCTTCAGCTGCTCCGTGGTATTGACCGGATTGTAGAGAGATGGCTCCCACTGCCATCCTGGTACGTTGGCAAAGTTCATCGTGCGCGTATTGTTGTAGAACTGCGGGTAGGGCGCCGGAAGAATAGGCATATGATCGTTCTTGAGACTCATGTATGCCCACCAATCCTCCGAGTTGATCATATCGTATCCATCATTCTGGAGCTCGAGTGGGTCTGATTGACCGTACTGCCAGTGCTGTACTATGATTTCTTTTGAGATGGTGAGGTTCTCGGATGGCTCGTAGGTACCCCATATGCGTACGCGTTTACCAGAAGTACTGTTGATGAAGTCGGCCATCTCGTTTACGAAGTTGATGTAGTCGTCCGCTAGATCGGAATCGTACTCATCAGCGCCGATATGTACCTCCTTCGTTTGAAACCATGGAAGAAACTCGGACCAGATGGCTTTGACTGTGGGGATTGCGTCCGGATGGCTCAGGTTGAGCAGGTCCTTCTTTGCTAGCGCTAACTCAGGCTTCCATTTCGTGATCGCTAGAGCATGGCCTGGGGCTTCGATCTCGGGAATGACGGTGACACCACGTTGTGCACAATGCTGTTGGAAGTCTTCGAAGTCGACACGTGAAAGAGTCTCGTTTGGGCGCTGAATGATAGCCTGGAGCTCTACATTTTCTTCCGGATACAGCGAAAAGTGCGAGAATACGTCTTGCCACGTCTCATTGCGACCACGGTTCAAAGGATAATTGTCGCTAGAGTGATAGTGGAACTCTGACATCTTGAAGAAAGAGGCATATGTGCAGAGTTCTTTCAGGAAGTTTTTATCGTACCACTTCCGGCCTGCGTCAAGCATGAACCCTCGTGTGCTGTATGCAGGCGCATCAACTATCCGACCCGCCATAAGAGAGCCGTTTTCGATCAAGAGCTTCTGCAGTAGGGTGCGCGTTCCCCAGAACATGCCTCTCGCACCTGCTCCGCCTATGTATACAGTGCCATTGGTAACCTCAAGCTCGTATCCTTCTTCTGTAGGCTGACCATTCTCGTATATCAAGGAAAGATTGCTGTCTCGAATCGGGCCGATATGAATACCAGTGAGTGGGAAGTCGTCTACTTGCTCCAGAGTCCAGGAACCACCGAATAGTGATGAGATGTCGGTGCGGAATGTCTCAGCGAACTCATAGGCAGTTGGTGGTATGAGCGTTAGACCTTCGGAGTCTCTCTTTGTGGCGAAACTTCTGTCGATATATATCTTTCTTGCATCTGTGCCGACAGAGAAGCCGAGGTCGTCGCTGTTGCTGTAGCGTGGTGAGACAGGCGGAAGAGGCTGCAGCGCGGTAACGAGGCCGATCAACTGCGAAAACACCACAATCAACATCGTCGGTATGAGACGATACAAGTGATCGCACGCTCAGTTCGCTGTAGTGAATATATCACAGCATTAAGATACCATGTCTTGGCCGTCTGTTACTCGCCCCGCTTCTGCAAGGCCGATGTAACCTCCGCAGGGAGCACAAATGGCGGCAAATGATAAGAAGTGAAAGCCGAAAAGAGGTGTCATCTTGGCAATCAAGCGGAATGGCGGTGATGAATACGAGAGGACGCGTTGTCGCAAGATATGACTTGTCGTCAGCTCTAAGGACGTATGCGATAAGTTCGCCTGGGAACAGTCTAAACCATTTCAGGAAGGATGTGTCCCAAGTCTAAGGAACCGCGACGATGCATACAGCGATAGCGGGCTGTACAGTATCGCGGTGAGGATTCCCCCCGTGTCAGCTCCACGCTTGT